ACAGTACAGATAATTGAACAAACTTTGTGGCATTACATTCTTGATTAAATTATCTTTCCATTGATGTATAATTTTATGGTACTACTCCAGAAAAAAAGTGGTGTTATTAGCCATCAAACCTCAAAAATACACTTTTCCCAAAAGGTTTCCACAATTTTGGCCACTACTGTAGATGCATGTATTTGTTTACCAACAGCTATAGTATAAGTATTGAGGGAGGCAAGCAAACCTATGATCTTTTCACTGCAAAAATGCATCATACAGTATAATAAAAACACAAAAAAATTAACTAAAACAAGGCAACAGATGTGTTTGCCACCTTGAGCTATTTGTAAAAATTTTAAAAGGTGGGATACAAATAAATAAATAAACAAGTCACAATTCAATCAGCTTAGACCAGGGGTAGGCAACCTTGGCTCTTTTATGTCTCGTGGACTTCAACTCCCAGAATTCCTGAGCCAGCATGGCTCAGCTTGGAAACCTCTCCCTTTCCCCTCAGCATGGCTGGCTCAGGAATTCTGGGAGTTGAAGTCCACGAGTCATAAAAGAGCCAAGGTTGCCTACCCCTGGCTTAGACTATATTTTTAAAATCCGGTAAATTCTCTGCTCCTCAGTGGAACAAGTCCACTGCTTTTTATTCAAAAGCCTATGTTTTTGAGGCACATTGCATTGGCTGCAGCCAGCAACCATGGCCAGCTTTGTTCCCTGCTGCCTCAACTCATCCCAAGATGAGTTGACCCATCACAACAAGAGTCAGCTCATGAATTCAAAAACACCGTCCAACTTTTCTGAAAAGCAGCACTCTAGAACAGTGGTTCTCAACCTTTTTAATGCTGCGACCCCAACCGGTTCTAAGTCGAGGACTAAACCGGTCGTAAGTCGAGGACTACCCAACCGGTCGTAAGTCGAGGACTTTCCCTGCCCGGGAGCGCCGAGCATGCGTGGTTCCGCCCCCTGCGCCAGCCGAGGCGTAGCTGGCAAGTGGCAGAGACGGAGCAGGCCGACCACCAGCTGGCCCAGCCCAAAGGAGGTAAGGCACCCGCTGGAAAAGGGAAAAAAAATGGCGGACAAAAAAAATGGCGGACAGCCTTGCTTGGCGACCCCCATGAAATGGTCGATCGACCCCAAATGGGGTCCTGACCCACAGGTTGAGAACCACTGCTCTAGAACCTTCAAATGTGACACAGCAGGCCTGCAGGAAGCAAGATGAAAAGAAGCTGTGGCGTTTGTTGTGCTCTCTCAACTTGGCTGTTTGCTTGCAGACGTTTCATTACCCAACTAGGTAACATCAATACTGGAAGTGAGTGTGAGGTTTGCTGCTGGCTGATTTTACCTTAGCTGAGTAATGAAACATCTGCAAGCAAGCAATAAAACTTGGAGAAGTACCAAGTTCCACCCTAAGCTACAGATAATCTGTTCTATCGGAAAGAAAGACGCCCAAGACGAATTTTAAGAAGCTACTCACTCGGTTGCTACCAACGGTGGCAAAAACCAGGGGATCACCTTCCTTGCTGTGCCAATTAAACTGCACGCCAAATAACGGTTGACTGTGGTCCTCCTGAAAAAGAAACCACAAGTTCAAACCACAGCATTTCATTCAGCACTAAAACAAGTTCAGTAGGGACATAAATAGGCTTAGCGAGATTATTGTGCATAGTTCTCAAGTTATGACCATTTGTTAGGAACCGTTCAAAATTATGACAGTACTGAACAAGGGGGACTTATGACCAGTCAGCCATCACAATGTCATTACCTAGGTCAGGGGTGTCAAACTCAATTTCACTGAGGGCCGCATCAGCATTGCGGTTGCCCTCGGGGGGGGGGATGGCCAGGGTGGGGGTGGCCTACTGGGTGGGCGTGGATGGAGTGGGGGTAGCCAGCTCTACATCATTCCTGTCAAGGGTGCCTGTGGGGGCCTGGGCAGGAGTGGGACAGATCTGAGGGTCTCTGGCAGAAGGGAGTGGGACCGGGACAAGCGCCAAGGCATGGTCCATTTCTTCATTCCTCACAAAGGGTGACACCTCCCCAGCATGCACCCAGGGGGCGGGGCTGACACAGCAGGGGCTGGTTCCTCGCTGTTTCTGGACGGCCTTGTGGAGAGCTAAGACCGAATGCGTTTCAGCATAGGTGGCCACCACAAAATTGTACATTGGCTCCCGGCCGGCCTGGGCCAGGGCCAAGGCAGCGGGAGCCGTTCCCTCACTGTTTCCAGGATGGCTTCGCGGGCCACATGAAACCACTTTGCGGGCTGCATGTCTGACCTAGGTGTTTGGATGATTGTCTTGCAATTATGTCATTGCTTTGAGCTGTAGTCACATGACTGCCATTTGGGACCTTTCCTGTTGGCTTCCCAAAGTCCTCTAAGTCGCTCCTACTAAATTTTCCCCCATGAAGCCCCACTCTGGAGAACGGGATCCCAGGGACCTCATACTTCATAGTACACCCCTGCCCACTCGTGCTCTGTAAATGCTCCCACCGGCCTTCCCACACTCCTTATTGCCCATCCTTGCCCCTCACAGGCCTGTCTGCACTCAGCATTCCCCAGTCATGTGAGCAAAATTAAGGAGTTTGGCAACCAACCCGTATTTATGATTACTGCAGCATCCTGGAGTCGCAGCAGCAGTAAGGGGAGCTAGATTTGCTTAACAAGCACCTGATTCACTTAACTGTAGTGATTTGCTTAACAACCGTAACAAGAAAGGCTATAAAACTGAGTGTGACTTACTTAACTACCTTATTTAGCAACCAAAATTCTGGTTTCAAGTGTGGTCATAAGTCAAGGACTACCAGGTATTTGGATGAAAGACAACTAAGGGATACCGAGGCGGTAGACTTTCTTGGGGGAAAGAAAAGCAACCTGAAGAACAGCAGCGGTGAGCCAATTCCAAACTCTATAGATATGTTCCTGAAGTGCCTGAGAGACCAGGTCATCTTTAGGGCATTTTAATATTATATAAAATTCTTAAGCAGCATTTGAGGAACAGAAAGAAAAGATTTAGGAAAAAGAGGCTAAAATGAAAAGAGTAGACACTGAGCTCAACAACTGAGTCTAGAAACAACTCCAGAATCTGTTTTGCTTATATATCTTTTACCTAAAATAAAAACAGTTGCTATGGCTTCTGCATTTTGTTTAAGGGCTATGCTTTCTACAGTCCTCTCTATAAAGTCATGAAGGAAACCCAAGTTATAATGTTCAGCTACTGTTCTTAGCCATTCCCCCAAAAGAAAGTGCACATTTCAATTTCCTGTCAACAGCTAAAATACAATTTCCTGTTGTTCCAATTATATCTAGGTATACCTCCCATAACAAGTGCATCTGAACTTGTAACGAAGATATTTTTAAAAAACTATGAAAAGAGATGGGTTTTCTGAAAATGAAACAATAATGTGGTGTAACTAAGTTTAGTGCTTGGAGAATGTATCTTGAACCACCTTATTATCTCACGTAGCGAACACACTATGAGGAGAACACTAAAAATTGTTTTAGAGATTTTCCTAATTTTAGGGGCATGAGAAGCTGCTTTCCACCAAGTCAGACCAGTATCCATTTTAAGGAGGTATGGGGGAATCAAAGCCCTGTTTTGAGGTGATGGGGCTGACCCTCTGGAGTGACCTTCTGTTGAAGATTAATTTGTTTCCAACATTGCCTGTCACCCAGAAGAAGCTAAACATGGAACTTTTTAAGAGAGCTTTGGCAAGATCTCATGCCATACATCTTGTCTGAGCTTTTACCTGTCTTAGGATTTTTGTATTTACTGTATTTTTATACCTTGTTAACCATCAAAATATATTGTGACATACAGATCTGATTTAAAAATATTTAATCAGGCAGCAGCAAACTCCATGAAATACTTAAGCCTGCAAATACCTTGAGGCTGTTCACACATTTAAATGAATATTTGCATTTCTTTGACTTCCATTTTCCTTTCCCCCAACTTTTCCTTCCTGGAGCATTCGGCGTGTTTGTAGGGGTGTCAGGGCGTTCAGTATTAGTACCACTCTCTATACTAACAGCATCGTCCTGGAAACATAAAACAAGATGGATTTCATAACAAACCAAAACCAGCAAAGAGCAACGTCTGAAATGCAGATTTTTTTTCAGAATGATTGAAAAAACAAGTTTCTGAGTAGATTAGATACTCAGCCTTTTATAATCCTGCTTCATAATACTGGCACTTATAAACAAATAACTGAAAATAATAATGCACCCAGTAGGGACTAGCATGTTTGCAAAGTTTTGTTTCATTTTTTTAAAAAACATTCAGAATGGGAAGGTGGCATGCTACAAGTTTAAGCGATAGGTTCCAGCATCTTGTTTAGATTCTGGACACCAAAGCTTTTGAAGAAAATAAAAA